GGATTTAAATATGTAATTAATGTCAGCCATTTAATTGTTTATTCAATCCTTAGCGTCAAAGTTATCGTTACATTTTGTAAATATGGCCGTATGAAATTTAAAAAGAAATTTAATTTGCATTCTAGTGAGTGAATGTATGTATAAATCACGACGAAATTAAGTAACGGTAAAAAGATTTCAAAGAATTATATCTCTTTTAATCACGTTACGCACTTTATTCAGAATAGAGTTACTTAAATTAATCCAAAGAATTTATATTTTCGAAACTGCGTCTTAAAAACGAGGAGAAGAAAGAAAAAAAAACAAAAACTTCATTACGAAAGGAGCCTCCCAGCACGACGACGTACCATTTTATGCCATCGTACCTTTCCTACGTCTGGTGCACCCTTGGCAACAATTGGTGACTATGTAGTTTACGCCGATTGGCAAATTTTTTCACTATGGCAGGCATTGTTCCTTCCGGGGAGAAGGCGAAGGCAGTTCGCTGCTCGCCTGATCCCCTAGTGAGACCAGCGGGCTCTGGACAGGGACTCCGGAGCCTGCATTGCACGGCCTCACTCGTCTGGGGGGCGGGTAGGAGGACAACCGACTCGCCTCTCCGTTGGCGCGGGAGCCCTGGCGTAAGCTAGGGCGGCCGGGCGGCGTCGTGGTGAATGTTCATTTTGATTTCCCCCCGTAAAAAAAAAGAAAAAAAAAGGCATTGTTCCTTTGTTGCCCGTGGAACTTCCAGCAGAACTACTAGTAGTTCCACGGGCAATAATGATCCCCCGTGAAACTACTGGAACTATGTACTAGTACTTACACGGGCAATAATAATCCTTTAGTATCAGTATCAATATTTAGTATCCAGTAGTTACACGGGAGATTATTATTGCCCGTGTAACTACTAGTAGTTCCGGTAGTTCCACGGGAGATTATTATTGCCCGTGGAACTACTGGTAGTTCTGCTTGTAGTGCCACGGGCTGTTGTGTATGCTATGGATACAATAAAAAGAAGATTAGTTTGCGAAGAGTCCGTATAAGTCGATTTCTATCGTAGGGTTGTCTCGTCTACCTTTACCATCTGGTAAAGAATGTAAATTGCATTATACCGAGAAGCTGGTACCGCAAATGTGTCGTCCTATAATTGGTAGTGTTATTTTGGTTAAGAATAATATGGGAGAGACCAAATTGTTCGTGCTCATTTTTTGTTTCTCGAAATAATTGTTTTAGTAACTGGCTGTCATTTTCGGTATTTTGATTTGTTTAAAGTGGTTAAGTGATTAGCGGGCGAGTCAATATGTTACGGCGTTAATTAATTTTTTTAAAGTGTTGTACTGCACTACCAACTCTGTGAGATCTTCCTGCTGTTTTAAGAATATCCAACTTATCACTACTACTAAATTTAATAGAAAATAATATTAACAGTGTATATTAAGAGAGTCACCACACTTAGAAGCTTATGTCCATTAGAGCGGAAAAGACATTACGGTTTCATGCCGACCGCATGCGTAACACGAAACGTTTCGCCCTTATTAAATGAAAATAATTTTTCTCACCGATTTAATGCGATTCCGTGTCGATAAGTGTGTGATTCCCTAATTAATCTAAAATTATACCCAGGTTTCAAAGAAAAATAATCCTATCTGTAAACTTTCAATATTTTTGTAAATCGTTGGTGACTACTCAAGTGTATCTATATCGAACAATTACACGTATTGCCTAACAAACAATTATAGCCGAAGTAGAAAGTACTTATGTATTTTCCAGACCAACATACACGTGATAGGAAGCATTGCTATATATTTTGAAATTGAGAGTATAGTAAAAATATAATTATCGAGTTCTTAGGTTTTCGCGATTGTTACACATAGGAAATGAAACTATTTTTCCGTATTTAAATCGCGTATATTTGTTTTTTCAAACAAACCGACGTTTCGGGCCCTTTACAGGTCACCGTGACTATGGGAATTCCTAAAAATATAATTATTTTATAGTTTTTTGAAGAAAGATCTAAATTGACAACTTATTCAGTGGAAAATATCTTTACGCTACCCATTCTTCGATTTAGATAAATTAACTCATTATTTAATAATACATTTGCAGAAATATCAAGCGTCATTGCTTAAAGACATTTTAAAGTAATGGGGTCTACAATGGAACGACCAGAAGATGCCTATTCAGTCGCACCTTAAAGATTCTTGGGTTGTATGTGCTCGCAAACACAGTCGCAGACAGGGAATTACATTCCTGGGTTGTGCGCATAGGAAAAGATGACATAAAGCGCTTAGAACGATGATAAAAAATGTCTCAACAGCACTTTGCCTCGTCACCGTGCAGCATTTGTCTAAAAAAAATATTCTGTAAAAAAACAAAATAATGTTAAATTTATGTTACTACAAACCTTAAAGTTGACTCACCTGTGGTTAGTATTAAAAAGCAATATTTATTTTCTGAATTTTTTAAATATTCTTTTTAATTTTTCTTGTATTCGGGATTTTGGGATTTAGCACATTAATACTAATACTTACAATATTAATAATATTATACTTACAATTTGTGAGTGACTATGGACACGGCTTCGTGTCTTCTTGTCCAGGAGAAAATGAATGGGCGGATGGACTAACAACAGGTAATAACATAAGTATTCCCATCCTTTCATTTTCGTATGAGTCAATAAACACGGGCATTGAAGTTCATTTGAGCACTACAAACATTTTACGTATTGTTTTATATTCGACTTCATACCCAAGCACAGAATTCTTAACCATGTTAAAGCATCTCTAAGCATGCCACAGCATTTCGTCGCGACATAGTGCATGTGGACACTCTTCAGATGAGTCGAGTCGTCCCGTTAGTGGGTGCCGGAACTAAGGGTCGTATTCCAGAACTCTACTCAATGCTCAAGGATTGCACTGGAAACACAAGCATTGGAAATACGACTCTAATGGCAGGGACTTGAGTATGATTTCTAGTGCTTTAAACCATACTCAAATCCTGACTTGAGCATTGAGTAGGGTTCTAGAATACGACCCTTAGGGCCGTATTCCAGAACTCTACTCAATGCTCAAGTCAGGATTGCACTGGCAACACAAGCACTGGAAATACGACCCTAATGGCAGGGACTTGAGTATGATTTTCAGAGCTCACTGCAATACTCAAGTCCTGACTTGAGTATTGAGTAGAGTTCTGGAATACGACCCTTAGACTTCTATAGTCTACTTGTTAGTGAAACAATGATCGTGGATGGCATCAACACTTACCTAATTATTATTAAAGTAATAACTACGTTTATACCTTGTTCACTTTCTTTTTTTACAATACCCTTTCTTGTCACCTCATTAGCATATCAGTAATAAAGAAAACAATGAAGACAAGGTTGGATTACACGCTTTTACACAATAAAAAATATTCGTCCGTAAGAGTAAGGTTTTACTATACTAGCTTTTTTTATAATATCAAGTGACGGGACGAACAAGTTGTGCGCCTGATGCTACACGCCTGTCCCAGTTGCAGTTGTTTGTGACTTAAATTTCTAAGTTGAACATTTATGAATGTTTAGTAGTTAGACCTTTAGTTAGGGGGGAAGGAAAACATGTCGAAGAAGATTCACCACTTGTGGAAAAAGTTTTTTTTTAATAATATCAAGTGACGAGACGAACGAGTCGTGCGCCTGATGGTAAGCTATACGCATGTCCATAGCAGTTGCAGTGCCACTCAGAGCTTTTAATCGTAAAGAACTGAGGTGCACAGTCACTGCGCCCTTTACCCTGAGACATAGGTTGACAAGTACCATGTGCCAGTAATTTTACCAGCACCCTTTCCCTTCAAAATCGGAACATAGTAATGATGACATTACTGCTTGGCGGCAGAAATAGTTCCTTACCTACCACCACTTTTTGCCACCTTTGGCAGTACTTCCTTAGACGAACTCTTTTACAAGGAGCTCTACTGCTACTAGCTGAGCTCTTAAAAAAGGATGCAATAGCAGCTTTTAACATTTTATAAATAGTATAGGGCACTTTTCATGTACTTATGTGCATACCTGTTCGTCAATTGTAATATTTTGTTGAACAATGCTTAAAAATAATGTATCTAAAATAATAATTTGTCTGAACAAGTTTGGTAAATATGATTGATTTATTACATTATTTTTGTTCTTGTGTTATTAAAGAGTGTTTGTAGTATTGTATTGAATCAAATGCAAGTTAAGCTTAGGTAGAGTACAGGTACATGATGGACTGTTTGAAGTAGATATTGGGTATGGCGAAAACTGTTATTTTCATAAAATTATAAAAAGAAAAAATCCTAAACATGTCGGTGATGTATGTGCCTAATTGTGTACTTTAAAGATAAGTAACAATGGTATGTATTGTACCATCTTACTATTACCTTACATGTGGGTACTAACAATAAACAGATAAACTTTTTTAAAGGCTTGGGATTGTTCAGACTTCTCGTGATAGAGCTTACAAAATATTCATGTACATTTAATATAATAAACTTCATTCAATATTTTACTTTATTTATTTTTATAAAATATAAAACTCAGGACAGTCGGTTTCAACTAACTTTCTCTATTTTTCAAAGGTTAGTTGGAAGAAATCCCCATAAGCTCGCCTTTGTACTTTGTACTTATAATTGTCTCCTAAAATTTGTAATTTGTTTTGTGGTACAATAAAGACAGTGTTTGCATGCACAACTATCTACTTACATACATACTTTTCTGCGTAGTGGAGCCAATTGTGAAGTTCCATCAAGTTGTGGTTTAATTACTTTGTTTAGAGATACCGCACATAAAAACAACCTGTCAAACTGCCCGACTCATCGACAGATGACGTAGGCAAATCAATTTTATTTTCCAGGGCCCCTAGTATTCTTAGATTCATTGATAAATCCTGTGTGTACCTACTTCATTTAAGTTGTCTGGAAAATGAAAATAAGGTAACCTATCCGTGGTCAGTGATCAAGTGTTTGTGTTATAAAGGTATAACGAAAATTATAGAAAAACATAATGTACGTGAACACATACACATTTGAGACATTTAATTTTGAAATGAAATATAAACACAATAAAATTTTCGCCTGGGTAATTGATAATTATATTGTATTAATTATAGCCACAACACAAATAGTAGGTATTTTCAACAAAAACTAAACTAAATTGATTCAATAAAAAAAATCTAAACATAGCCGTTAATCTAACAAAGGTTCTCCGGCTATAATAGAGCTCTCAATACCACAATGATCTTCGCCGCGGAGGATTTTGAAAAAACCATTTTCGCCCCAGTCTGCGTTCCACGAGTTAGCAATAAGCCAATATTTGTTACCCTTCTCCACGCCCCATCCTAAAATTTTGATTGCGTGACCTCCGAGAGCCTCTCCGTCGATATGCTTGTAAACTCCGCTTTTGTAGGATAATAAATCAGAGTACACGGTGAAAGCTGCTTCCACGGGACCGTATTTATACAATTCAGCTTTGATGTGCTCTTCGTCTCTCTTAACTGAATACACGTGCTTACCGTAATGCTTGTCTTTTTTGTAAGCTACGTTGTAACCGTCTTCGCAAGATCTATAGCATTTTGGTGTCTTTGTGTCTCCACTACAAGGAATCCTGTTTCCTGGAATATGGTGCTCACAGGGTGGGATCTCGTATGGTCTGCATCCTTGACTTGAATTGTAAGACCCGCCAGAGACGATACCGAAGTGTTTCCAATACTCCCACGCTAAGGTAGGAATACCACCGTTACACCCAAAACCGCACACTGGGCAACAGCTCAGGAGATCTTCTGCGGAGTAATGGAAATGTTTTGTCCCATTAGAGTAGGTGCAGACACGGTCAGTCATAGCCTCGACTGCACCAAACGCCCAACAACTTCCACATGATCCCTGATCTCTGATTTCATTCAAAGTGGGACAGTTCGGCCACTTGTCTCTTGGATCAAAGTTTTCTGGAAGACTAGCTATCAAGTCGTAGTCGTGTTCTTTTTGTTCTAAGGTGGTTATAAAGTCATCTTGCCTGGCTCCCATCAAATTTTTTATGTACTTTAGCGATATATCTTTTGCGAAATTCTTACCAGCTTTCCACAAACTTTGCTTACTGTTAATATGATTAATAAATTCTTCCGAAAGGGGATGTAACTTGTTCCCTGAAGCAATGGCGCACAATAGTACGATGCACGCGGCGCGGTACACAATCATTTTGAGACTCTTTTGTTCGTAATATGAATGGAGGCGCGCAATACGAATGAATGTAGCGCATTGACTGAGCGTAGCGATCCGCCGACCAACGGTCGTCCGGGCAGTGGCCTGCAATGCTCACACGCTTGTAATTGCGTCGGTCACTCAGTACGATATGGAATTAGGGTGAGACATCAGATGATGAAAAAAACAACATGTCGAAGGTTACTCATATCAGTGGCGGCCATATTATTCGAACACAGATTACGGCAAATAGGTTAAGAATGATCAGTAAATATTTATTAATTGATTATTATGTACACTTCGTTTCTTGTCAAGTTGATCAGTTTAGAATATGCTCTTAATTACATGTTTGTTTTAAAGAAACTAATCTCTACAAATATCATGGTTAAAATTAAATCAATATAGGTAAATGTTAAAAATTACAACTCGCTATAACAGTTACAGACAATATATCTGTGATAACAGTTTATAGAGTATCTCTAAATTTTTACCAAACGTAGACTATGCAACAGCCCTAATGATTGGTGATACTCGTGATAACGCTGAGTTAGCCGCCCGTTTTCCCATCCTTCCGCGGCCCGCTATTTCGTGTGGTTACTATGACCTATATAAAAAATAATCTCGTATTATATTCCTTCACTGTGAACAATATTGCCCAACGACCCGGTAACGGGTAAGCAGTTTATACCACGGTCATATGTTATAATGTGTGTTAGTATGCGAGAAAAAAATGGTTAACCATCACAAGGTTTATTATGCGTTGCATACGGTAGGAAAATTGTTAGCAAGCGTAATATGTAAGGATATGAAGGGAAAATAATGTCACGTACTGTATGTTTTTGTACGAAGATGGTATAATAATATTGCATTTACTTAGAGATCAAAGATCAAAAGGTACGAGGTATGTAAGTATACCTAAGTAAGTAAAACAATATTTCCTGAAACACGAATGAGTAGTCATATCTAATTTGATTTGAAAAAAATACTTGTATATATTGTTTTCCTTTTTTTTCTTCACCCTTTTATGATAATGTTATGTTGAAAAGTGATCGCTCTATACCGTTTATTGTTTTTTTTTTTTTACATTTCCTAAACGCATGCCATAGTACGGCCACTTGTCTCTTGTATCTAAGCTCTAAGGAAGGTTGGCTATTATTTTTGGGCTATGCTTCATTACACTTAAATTACTATTTGAAAATTACTGTCTTTCATTGCTGCCATTAGGGTCTAGATGTAACTTTGTGGAGTACCTATCTGTTTTGAAGTTTCTGCCAGCTTTCCATAAACTTTACTTGTTGTTTGTTGATGTTGATCTCGTTGATAAATTCGTCAGAAAGTGGATGGAAAGTCTGTCCGCAGTAATAACAAAATTTAAAAAATATACGCCTTCAACTTCATTTTGTAATTTTGGTTTCCGAAATGGAATAGCAATGAATATTCGTTAAATAAGCAGGTTTCGAGTCTTATTTTTTAAGGCGTTATTTTACCGCGGTGCATAACGTTACTTTTTTGTTCACTGGCATAACATGGCAGAAGTCGAGGGATTACTTTATATTTTTTATTTACTTAATACATTTTTTAAGTAACACTTTAGGGTGTGGACATAATAGGTTTATGTATAGGATTAGTTCATGTATACAACATAAATCTAAATATACATCACTATACTGGGTATACTTATGCGCAATTACTTCACTTTGTCGAATTGTGCTTTTATTCAATTAGAAGACAACAATATGATCATTTTCGTTGTCCGAAACGTAGGCTATCTGTCTATGTTCAGCAAAGAGAAGTCCATTTGATATAATTCCTACTTTTCTGGTATCTGTTCCTGTCTAAATAGTCTTAAAAATTTTATCATTAAAATGTTAAAAGCACGAACTCATGATAACAGTCTTATGGACCTGTAACAAAAATTTTTCTTTGCAAGTGGGCTGCTGTTTGCTCAGTTTCCTGTGTAATTGTGTTAAGCACAAAATGACAATTTCGAGATATTTTACATAAAAGATTTTTGAAGTTTTTTTTTCATTTCTCCTTTAAATCATTAAGTTTTATTTATTTGTTTTTATAAGTTAAGCGAACAATCACTCGCGACCATCGACCCTTGTCTAGTATCTATGTCCTGCAGCCATGATTTTTTTGTACGACGAGCTTTTCTTCTACTAGTGACTTTCCCAGAATTATAAGTTGAACGAGCTTGTGCTTTTTTTCATAGTACCAAGTGACGGGACGAACAAATCGTGCGCCTGGTGGTAAGCGACACACTTATCCATAACAGTTGCAGTGCCACTCAGCGCTTTAAATCGCAGAGATATTAAGGGTACTGCCACTGCGCCCGTCAACCTAAGACACAAGTTAACAAGATCCATGTGCCTGTAATTTCACCAGCACCCTTACCCATCAAAACCGAAACACAGTCTAAATAATTGAAGGAACTTGTATATTATAGAAATTAGTTACAAATATACTTCAACAACAACAAAAGAAAAATCCAGAATTGTGATAAGATCTCTCAGAAATGTGTAGAAGTTATAAAAATTATATTATTTAGATTACAGTGTTGAGGTTTTGGTCTAGCAAGGGTTCGCCAGCGATAATGTCTGACTCGATGTTGCATTCGTTTTTTCCCCGAAGAATTTTGAAAAACCCCTTGTCGCCCCAAGAAGAATTCCAAGAGTTGGCTGCAAGCCAGTATTTGGTGCCGTTTTCTACACCCCATCCTAAGATTTTGATGCAGTGTCCTGAAAGTAAATCACCGGCAATGTACTTATAAACCCCATTTTTGTAGTGCAGAAAGTCGTCATGTACATAGAAACACGCTTCCACTGGACCATTAGTATATAATTCTGCTTTAATTTCGTCTTCATTTTGGTCGAATCTATACGTACGCTTCCCATAGCGTTTATCTGTTTTGTAATCAATGTTTGAACCCGCAACACAGATATTTACGCAAGTAGGGGTAGGATCATAATCTACAGGACACGGCGGCAACGTAGAACTACTATTGTAATGATTACATGGAGGTATCTCATATGGTCTGCAACCTTCCTTGGAATTATATGCTCCACCAGACACAATACCATTTTTGACCCAAAAATCCCAAGCGTCAGACGAGAACCCACCTGAACATCCGCCATGTGAACTACAGGTGAGAACATCTTCAGCAGAGAAATGGAAGTTTTGGGTCTCGTTCGAATAAATGCAAACGCGGTCAGTCATAGCCTCGACTGCACCGAACACCCAGCAACTCCCGCAACTTCCTTGGTCCCTGATTTCATTTAAAGTTGGACAGTTCGACCACTTGTCTCTTGGATCAAAGTTCTCAGGAAGGCTGGCTATTAATTCAGGACTATGCCTCATTACATCTAAATTACGTTGCAAATTACTGTCTCTGATCGCTCCCATTAGATTCTTGATGTAACTTAGTGGAGTATCTGCTCTGAAGTTTCTGCCAGCTTTCCATAAACTTTGTTTGCTGTTGATCTCGTTGATAAATTCGTCGGAAAGTGTATCCAGATAATCCGGCACCTGGAACGTCACTCCATTCTTAATGATCGACAGTACGGGTTTCGGCCGAACCGATCAACGGGTGACGTTCTAGCGTATCTAATGCATCTCTGGGGTGAAG